GCACATCCAAAAAAACAAAAAGAAAAAAAAAAAAAACCCTCCAGTGGAAGTAGAAAACGGATGGATGTCACCTTCAGAGCATGCGCACTGGCGTACGGCGCTAGCTTTCAAAAATAATAACCACTATCTTCATGCCTCCGTCTGACTCACTCTCTTACAGTGAATAGTCGCGGTGTATCCCAACACACGAGGGTAGAGGCAGGCTTTATGAATGTGGTTAAAGTCTAGATGGACTGGGAGAGACTGTGAACTGTGCTTTGAGCATCGACTCGGCGGATGAATTCCTATGCCTTCGCAATCAATCTCCGACTGAAATCGTGGGCGCTTATCACTCTTCCGCACTTATCACACTTCGTCGCTGAGGACATACATTTGATAAGAACAGGTCGATTACATACAGAGGTATAGACGCGTTCCAGATATCAGTCGGGGTAATAGGTCTGAGTGGGTAAATGTAAATAATAAGTTCAAACCGGACTGTGCCAAGCAAAATCGTGCATCTCAGCAGTAGACATGTATCTATCGTCTTCGTGGGGGGACCATGTACGCCTTAGCACCCGCCTCTCGTAGTCGCATATCCATCGACACACTGCTGATATAAAAGTTGCGATGCCACCTCCGATCGTCGATGGTGCGGAACGTTGAGTGGAAGGGAAAGGGGATGAAAGATGTGTGATGCGAGCACCGAGGCCTTCGGGCCATTCGTGGTGGTGATCATGAGTCCTCACGTTTTGGCGGGTGTTGCCTAAGGGGGATGACCCAAAGGCCAAAGCAAGAGACAACGTCAGTTGCCGGCCACCATGGACGGCTGATTCATCACGACGAACCGTAGATGGTCCCCATATTCATGTTCCCGTAGTTGATAATGTAGATTGGACTGTATGTTGTACCCGACGTACTCGCAACTGGAGGTGTTTGACGTCAGGTATAGATATCTTTGCACTGAGGAGCGCCGGAAGCACTAGCAAGAACTCACATGTAGAAGGACAGGCTGCGCAGGAACTATCCGCCAGTGAACTTTGTGGGCCAAAGGCGTCGCATTCGATGTGTGGGTGTAAAGGTTGCTGCATGGTGAGCCCAGTGGTTCGACATTCAAATTGGCCCGATTGCCTTATGTATTCTGTATTCTGCTGTGTTGGTACACAGCCTTGCTATCGAACCGCACCAGCTCGGTCTTCCATCAGCAACCAATATGAACTTATTAAGGCGAGATGCTCTATAACAGGAAGGTGGCCGCTCGGCAGAGGGGCTTTTTAAGGCGGTTCAACTGCGGTTCGATTGATGGAGGCAGTGTTCTTATCGTTTCAGTGGTTCAGCTCTAAGTGGTTCTACTCCGGTTCGATTGATGGGGGCAGTGATCTATTATCTTATCCTTGGACCACGCGCGCTAATGTCGGGCAACTCCTCCCTGTCATCATTGGGCCCTGGACTTGGGGCCGCTGACCGAGTGACTTCGCCAGCCCACCAAAATAGCATTTCCCAGCAGTCATCAAAGACGTCGTCGTCCGCATGAATGATCTCAGACTCGACCGTCGCCCGAAAGAGCGCTTCAAGTGGGAGCTGAAACTTCAGAAAGTGCTCGATGTTTTCTCGTGCAATTCCCGATTTTGTCCGTACCTCTTGAAAAAGGACTACATATTCGTTCCTGGGTGTACGCTGGGATATGCCGCGTTCGAACGAGAAGCACATTTCTGGAATGGGAACTAACTCTTGGCCGTCTGCGAGTTGATCGACCGTTTTCCCAAACAAGCGCCTGGGCTTATCGGAGAGCTGATGGAACTCGGGTATCTCGGTGCCGTTGTGGGGGCACTAGGTATTTCTCGACAGATGGAGGTACAACAGGGGCCCACTTTTTTTCACGTTCTGCAGGTGCCAGAGCGTGGTATAATCCTCCAGCGAATGCCACGCCCTCGATTGGGAAAAATCCGACAAACACCAGTTTTCAATGTTCCAGCAGAGTCGGCGGGGTGATAATCTTTATTCTACTGCATGGTCAGTAATATTTGTTCATTTCTCTTCTTCCCCAGTTCTCAAATTTTCCCGGAACTGGGTCCCTGGATCCACAGATTCAGAACAGCCGACGCTATATCCAATATCATGTCTCTGTTATTCCGTATCGAAGATTTACAAACACTGCCCGACTCGGAAGCTCCCCACCGTGGAGTCTACCAGCACCAGCCAGCACCTGCTCATCAGTGTAAACTGGGAAAGGGCGATCAGGCGGAGAATGAAAAGTCATGCGAAACGCTCACCATCGATCAGTACCGCAAGCGTGTCAAGGGCCTCAGTCACGACTCACTGGTCCCCGAGTCGGTTTGAAGCCCTCATTGATAAACTGCGATCGAACGAACCGGTGAGGTATCAGTTAACAGCCTTCATCCACCCCTTTGGTCGACAAGTCAAAGGAGATTGACGAGTCGAAGGAATCGAGGGTGAAGTTTGGGATGATGCAATTCGAGTATGCAGATATTCGAAGATTGGTTCCAATATGAGTTCACTGACCTCGGTGCGTTTCAGATGGGCACCTGGAGTGACGGCGGATGTTGGAGTCTGTGAAGATTCAAGAATTATCGTGTGTTTTCTCTGCGTGCCCACAGGTTCGCGCTTATCACCAATCCCCAAAACGGGCGGCTCACAACTCCAAGTCACTTTGCCGGAGTGGTTAACGGGATCGCCTGCTATTGGCCTCAGGGCCAGGCAAAGCGGTTGGTCTTTGACCGCGAGTGTTCGAATCGCTCAGGTGACGAGGCTTTTTGCCTTTATCTACATAGGCGCCGTGTTCCATTTTTTCGCACGCTTTTGCAATTTGCTCACATCAATAGTGGCTTGTTCAAGTTGCTCAACCTTTACCTCTCGTTTCGACGCGTACGAAGCAAAATGGCTCACCAACCGACATCCCTCGTCTTTGACTTGCCCGACGACATCCTCGTTCGAATTCTCGTCTTCACGGAAAAAATTACCACAGTGTCGCTGTTCGCTCGCACTTGTAGGAAGGCCCGAGCTATCGTTTACTCTGGAAAGTCCAGCGACATCATTTGGAAACAGTACTACCTGTGCTGCTTCAACGATCCCGAAAGCGTTGCACTGGAAAGGCGGGATGTGGGAATTCCTTTTCGGGCGCAAGATTTGCCTATCGCCAGACAATACGATGGAACGCCGTCCTCTCGCCTTCCTTGGATCCACCAGCTCATTCCTAGGGTGAAAATCTTGAAGGTACTCGGTGCCCCAGTATCCGCTCAGATCTTATTGGACACCAAGATAGAGACGTTGATGGCGGTTCTGAACACTCTTTCCAACCTTCGTGTCGCCCATACCACCCAGCGAGACCTGGACCTCGAGTACCTCCAAAGGGCTTTGATTCCTTCCCCGCTCCTACACTCGATCCCGGAAGCTTCGCCAGGACCGAACGACCCTGACCATAGATCTCGTTTTCGTCGTTTCCAAAGCCTTCACGCCAAAACGTTGTGTCTAACGGGTATTCAACTTCAGTCCTATCACAAATCCATCAAGGATATGTGAGGAAATCTCAACAAACGGTGGATGGACGCGCGGACGGAATCACGATGCTTCGTCTTCAACGTCTTGAATTACTCCAGCGAGTCCTGCTGGGGTCCATTCCTGAAAGATCGGAGGATCGATTGGATCCATGTTCGGCATATCCTATTCCTCGTCTGGGCAGCAGCCATGGACATTCCTCGTTTCATCACCGCAAGTCCCTACCTTCCGCCTGTTGGGCTCAACGCCATACGACCAAGATCAGCGCCTCAATGCTTCGTTTGGCTAACCCTTCCCCCACTTCCAGGGCGATGGTGCTATTACTCCTGTGCTATTCCTGACAAGTAAGTCGGTCCGTCAAGTCAGACTACCGACTCCGATGCTAATTCGTCTTAGGGCATTTCAAGGTGACTGTAGTTTGGCTTTTCGGGATTCCAATCTTAATCCCTTCTGATCAACTCGATCCACGCAGAGTTTCACGGACGTTCAATCTTCTCATCCCGAGCGTTTCGTGCCTAACCCTAACCCGAAGGCACCGGCGACCAAGCGCGCTTCGTCTCGGGAGTTCTTCCATCAGGGATCAGGGTACCGGGACAAGGTCCAGCTCCATGAATTCGAGTTCAAGCTCGTAGACCAGAACGAAATCCTTGAAGGAATTGAATATTCCAGATACCCCTCCTTCCCATTTCCGCATGCATTTGGTATTGGACTTTGCCCATCGAAACCAGTGTTGTTCTTTCGCGTCATGTTTTCCCTTGCCGCGAAAGATGAACCACCGATATACGGTTGCGTAGTGCTGGCCGAAGACGATACCGCTCGATGGTGTTTTGTTCGTCCATTGCGTGGGGCAGCCGACTTTCTTTGGATGTAAGTCGTTTTACCACACAACGTACCCGCTCGTTCGCCGACTTCGACTTCATACATAGGACAATAGGCGTACAACTTGGGGATATCGGTAGTGCGATGGGAGTTGCTGGGAACTGGTCTTCGCACGTTAATACACGGTACTCTACGGGAAAGGAGATAGGTAAGCCCTTCGTGATTATACGCCAGTGCTCTGAAAAATGATGTTCATTCGTTCCAGGTCCATTTTGGATGTGGAAAATACACCATTATCAGCCCAGCCGCACATTTAGTTACAGCGGCGACGCGAATGTGTAGCTCGATTGGATCAAGATATGCACTTGGCATGGGAGGCTATGAACAAATTCGCCCCAAGGATCGCTCCCAGAAACACCAGCTTCGTCCATAGTCTATAGATGACGTGTGTAGGTACGAGGCGGACCGACGGATGATCTTCTATAGGCTGCGCACCGGGTGATACAATGTTAGTGGAGTGGGATTTCAAAAGAAAATGGGATGGGTCAATCGCTTGGCTCACCGGAGTCTAACTTGAGTATGACTTGTCAAAGCACACTGCATCGTTCGAAAACAACCCCCGAGGGCCGAAGGTACGTGTGATACCTCAGCAAGAATATCAGGATCACCCACGCTGCTCCTAGCGAACGGTATCCCTGTTTACACCACACCAGCGACCCCCAAGAGCAACAGACCGCAACTATAGTTGATACTCACTGCGCTCATGATCTGGCGTAACGCGACTTAACCCAACCACTAACTCCATGCTCCCCTCAGCGATATTGGCAGTGACTTAGGCCATGAGTCTTTCCGTGTTCCCCGACGATGGCAAACTTGAAGTACATCATCGGCATCCGGGCTCTGGAGTTGGATGGGAACAAGGGAGGTTATGTCTCGTCGAGAGAGGACCGAGTGGCTGCTTTATGTACGCTACTACCGAGCGTCAAACAAAGAATCCGTTCCTTTCCGCGGGAGACTGGAAAAGGAAACTCTGACACTGCTGGGCACCCGCAGTGGCTGCCGGTTCTGGATTATCGGTGCTGACTGTTTGTGCCCCAGATCGAGCTGATTGCCATCTGGTCGGATCATAGGGGTGCGTCGACAGCCTGGTCGATGTGCATGAGCATTAAATTAGACATTGGAGGTACAAATACAGTTGTTATATGAATAGCTGTAGGTGTAGATGACAGGTGTATGTGTAGCGGAGAAGCCGTTGACAATTGATCTGTATGGCCTTGATCGTCGAAGGGAAGTGAATGGTTGGGTAACTGACTGTATAATCAGTGATCAAACTGGACTGTACCAAGGAAAACCGCGCATTTCGGTGCTGGATGTGTGGCCGTACTCCTCGTGAGCGTGAGGTAAATTCCCATACGCAGTGCGTGTACGGCTCTGTACTAAGTCTGGGATTCGCCGCACGTACTCGCGTATACAGAGGTATATTCCTGCGACAAAGGCTGTTATCCGATCGCTAAACGTCGACGGCGGAACGGGATATTGGGGGGAAGTGATAGGTGGAGGAGGAGGATATCTGTCATGGGAAGTGTGGCGACGGTCGTACAATCGGAGCGCTCGTTGGCGGACAGTGCGACCACTTTGAATCCTCGAGTCGTATGAGCTTTGATGGGCGTTTCCTAGCACGTGAGAAATATGTGAGCTCATGGATCAATCGGCTCGGCCCGAACGATTAGCTCGCATTAAGCGCCCATTCAACAACAAGATGCTGTGCGCTTCCACTTGCCACACCCGGAGCCTTGTTAAATGGCACACTGACCGTGAATAGTACCCATATTCACATTCGCAGCGTTGATAATATACACGGCTGGGACGTGTGTTGCATTTATGTCTGGTGTCTGAAGTCAGTTCGTCGTGTAAAGAAGTGTTATGTAGAGGGAACTGACATCCAGAAGGGCACGCTGGACAGGGACAGGGCCAGGGACAAGCGGGGTCGAAGTCAATGGGCACGGCGAGAGAAGGAAGGCGATTCGGCTGAGATTGTGCACCAATCGCGTCGTGTTGAAAGGGTCGCGGCCTGCTGGAGTGATAAGCCCAAGCTTCTGACATTGGCAACGCAATGGACTTTGGGGACAGAATGAGATCCCCCGCTAAAACTGGTACTTACATGTTATAAGTGGGAGCGGCGCCGGCGAGCTTTGGTCGAGATTTTGTTCGCTTTTGTTTTTATGCTGTCAAACGGGTAGAGATAAGTCGCAGGGGTTCCTCTCAAGGGACAGATCAGGTGGAGCTTCCAACAACAAGTGGAATAGAGTAGCCCTGCTACCAGGTGCGAGCAAAATGTGTCAAGGAAATATGCTTCCAGTTGTCGTTCGGCAAGCGCCGTTATGTCTGAGCTTTAAAATTACATCGCTCTCGTGATGGCGGGAAAGGAGTGCTAAAAAGGCTAATTACCTTGCGAAGCAAGGTTTGTAACACTTCCAACAAACAATCCAGTGCAGACGGGTACACATCAACTTGATTGACCCTTGGTCCATTTGCCGGGGTAGAACTGAACTCTGAACTAGGTTCGGTTCATCTGTAGCACTCGTTTGCAGGCGAAAACGGACGGGCTTAACACCATGCCCGTTCGAGACGTGAGAGGTTGCTTAATTGAGCCTGCTTTTTGGAGACCTTCCGACTTTTTTTCCCCGCAACTTTCCCTTTTTCGGGTGCACTGAGGAGGCGCCCATTGCCTGTAGTTCCTCTTCTCGACGGTAGAGTCCAATGGTAACAGCGCCCAGCCCAAATATTCACCCAGGCAAATCCTTTCCCAATCGGGATGTGAGTAACTCCGCGCTTTCAAGTTCCGGCGCTTGCCATACACGTTGTGAGCAAGTTCTCCTCTTTGAGGGTGACTTTATTTTATTTCTATTCTCTGTATGGTACTTCGTTTACAGATTGTTTTTTTGACCAAGTGTCGAACAGACTGCTATACACAGCAATACTATCACTACAGAGACTACTATATC